AAAAAAAAAAAAAAAAAAAAAAAACCAAAGTCCACCATGAAAGACGTCACCTGGAAGGGCTGAGGTCACCTGAGAGATCTGCCACACCTGCCAGGTGATTTGGGGTGCAGTCTCTATGCCCCTCCTCCTCCGAGGTCATCTTGACAGAAGGAGCAGAGGCGCTCAGGGCCCCCTATTCCCAGCCCCTCTGCAGGCCGTTCTCCAAGGGGCAGAACACCGGGTGGTGCCCAGGGCTGCCCCACCTGCCCCCACAAAGACCCTCAGGTGGAAATGCTCTCCTCAGCCTTGCTCAGCCCACTGTGACCCTGCCCGGCATCTCTGTCCCCTCCAGGTGAAAGGAAACCAAACCCCACACCGTGGAGGACCCCGGCCCAGGAAAGGCCCTGGCCAGCGCTGGGCCTCTGTCACCCCAGGAGGGCGCAGGCCAGCCCTCTCCCCTGACCCCTGGAGCCCGGGGCCTCTGGGCAGGAATGAGGGGAGGTGGCTCACCAGGTGCTGCTGGGCTTTGGGAAGCTTTTCTTAACACCCTCCCAGGGTCTTGGAGGCTCTGGAGTTTGGGACATCCTGGCATGTAGAATCTGGAAAGGCCCCAGTCCCCCCAGCACTTCAGAGCCTGCTCCCAGTGAGGTGGAGCTCGAGGAGGTGGGCAGTGGCGGGTGCCCCCGATAACCAGACTTCGTCATCTTCCCACCCACTGGCCTTGCCCCCTTGCCCGCAGCCTTCAGGAGGGAGGTGGGGACATCCTCTTGTCCTGGCTGGACTCACTGCCCAACTGTGTCCTGGGCCGAGGTTCCAGGAGGCCAGGCCCGCCTTCCAGGCCGTGAGGAGAGAGGGCAGTGGATGGGAGGGCTGTGTGGAGCTGAGTCGGGCCCCGTGCAACCATTAGGGGGATGGGGGTGGATGATGGGTGTGCATGGTCGTCTCCTGGACTTGGGGTCTGGCTGGGGGAATTCAGAGTGGGGAGAAGCTGCTGTCTAGGCTTTGGCCATGGGCAGTGTGGATGGCTGGGAGGGCAGCCAGATGTGAAAATGACCAGCAGGGAGGTAAGAGTGGCCCAGATAAGGATGGTGCCAGAGGGCTGTGGGCCCAGGACACCGAGAGTGGCCACAGGGAGGCTGTTGGGCCCTTCTTTGATAAAAAAATCAGGGTATGGGGGTGCATAGCCAGCCCTTGCCTGCTGCAGGATCCTCCACAGGGAACTATCCTGGTGTCTCATAACCATTCGTGGCTGTAAGTTGCCATCACAGGCCCAGTGTAGCCATTGTCTGGCTTGGCTGTGTGAGGCTTGTGGGCAGCAGTCCACCTACCATGCATGGTGTGGCCCTCATTAGTCATCAGTTGGGCCAGTGCCCAGAAGGTGTCTTTCTCACTGAGAAACACAAGCAGGACGGTGGTGACATGGCTCATCCCCTGGCGGAAGCCCACCTCCTGCAAGAGCCAAAGTCCACCATGAAAGACGTCACCTGGAAGGGCTGAGGTCACCTGAGAGATCTGCCACACCTGCCAGGTGATTTGGGGTGCAGTCTCTATGCCCCTCCTCTAACATTGGGCTTGAGTCCTGAGACAGTTGAGCACATCTTGGTTTACAAGAAAAGACTGATGCCATGTCCAAGCTCATGTGATCAGAAATGACTGATCAAGGACTGGCATGGGGCCCCCTCCCTTGATTCCTGCTGGGAGGCTGCTGTGCCTGGCTCAGGGCAGCATCCATGGTCTGGGACCCCCCAGAGCTGGCTAGGGGTTGCTTACCACCACTCACACAGGGTCCTGGGATGACCCACAGCTGCCAGAACTGGAGGATGGCTGGGTTCAGACCCCACTGCGGGCAGCCCCAGGAGCCCTTTCTGCTGTTTTCCCTGGAAAGAATGGTCTGGCAAATGGGGCAGTGCTGGGAGCAGCCACCTCGAGAATCATCTCCCAATCTGCTGCTGGCTTATGGGGTCAGGTGAATGAGAATTTCTATTCCTGCCATGTTTCTGTTGAATAATACAGCATCTTCAGGATTCAAACCTGTTTTTATGACAGCAGCAATGCCCATTAGACACTTGGGTAACTTGTAAACTGTATCTCCTGAGAGAAGCATCCTGCTATACTGCCAGTCTCATGGGGATTTGGGGCAACCCAAAGAAAGCATGTGCCTTGTTCTGAAAACTGGTGGTCGGGTGCAGGTAGAGCAGGAGCCTGCACTCCCACCTGCTCTGTTTTAGGTTAGAGATCCTCCTCTCCTCGCTTGGTCCCCTGTTGACTGTAGTGAGCTTGCCTCCTAACTGGTGTGTCCTGGGTGGTCACAAACACTGAAT